AATTCTTACATGTAGAAAAAAATAACTTAAATGATATATAAGTCATTTGAGGATATTCATAATACTCCCTCCGTCCCACTGTCTTTGTCCACTTACCTTTTGGCACACCATCCAATGCACTTCTTTAATCTATTTTATCTTGTAATTTGTATATTAAAAAATTATAGAAATTATATATTAATAATCTATATGTTAAGACAAATCAAACAAGATCACACATGACTATATTTAGGCTTACACATTGAGAGAATTTGATGACTCAAAGTGCTTAGATGAACAGTTCCAAAAGTCAAAAGTGGACAAAGACAGTGGGACGGAGGTAGTATGTGAGAGATAGTTTTGTTAGTAATCTAGTCAAAATGGAGAAACAAAAAATTGACTTAATGTTGGAGGATATACAACTCATTTCTGGGCCACAACCACAAGATTGAGCTTTTGGTTGAATTGGTTGGACTTGGTTCTTTGGCATGATATCGGAGCTTTTATGACTAAGTGGTCACGAGTTCAAAACTCAATGTCACCCATTTAAAAAAATTAAGGTTTCACGTGCAAGGCTCAAAAAGTCATGTCTGCACGCGAGGGGAGTGTTAGAGGATATAAAACTCATTTCTGGGCCACAACCATAAGCTTGGACTTTTGGTTGAGTTGGTTCCTTGACACTAAAAATAAGTACGTAAGACATACTTATTTTTTCTAGCTTATATGTGGCTTATAAGTCGGCTTATAGTCACAGAGAAATACGTCATCTGCTGACTTATATGTTAAAAATAACTTAGAAGTAGTTTTGGCCAGCTTATAAACACAGAGAAATACCACTAAGTTTTGTCTTGTAGGATATAGAGGGTCTTCTTAGGATGACATGCAAGATGGTACAACACTCTAAGCTAACTAAGATCATCCATAATGGGGATGCTTGCATATAGTGCTTCTAAATAATTTAGCTGCTCGTTGGAGCATGATAACATTGAATTCTTTCCAAGCATTTGATGCTTGGATAAGCATCCGTTGCTTCTTTTAAAATGGTGTATGGCTAACAAGAGAAAAACTTCAAAAATAGTGAGTTTTTTAAGCAACATCAATTGAGTTTCCTAGTTTTACAGTCCATTTGAGTTTTGGATTCCTTTGGGTATTCATTTCCTGCATTTTTTCGATGATGTTGCTCTTTGAATGTTTTCATATTGTTGTAATTTTTGAATATATTATAAACTATGAATTTATTTTTGTGAATTATTCCATTTATTTTTCAAGCGCTACATTGTATTTTGTAATTTTTGTACTTAGGCTCTGTTCGTTTGGATTTGAAAAACAGTGTTGGATGTTAACTTTTTTTAAAAAAGGTTAGAAGAAGCTAGAAGGAGTTCGAAAACATTAGGAGTTGGAAGAAGTTAGAATGAGTTGGAAAAAACTAGAAGAAGCTGGAAAAATTACAAGAAGTTATTTACTTTAAGGTGTGATGGAATAAAGTAAAATGAATATCTAAATTGTTTACGGTTTAATTAATGGAATAACAATTAGTCAATCAATGCAACTTTCGACGTTAAGTCGTGAATCTTTTTGGAAAGAGTCTCTCTACTTTCGTGTAATATTCAACTCAATTATTGTTGGTGTTGTTTGTGCTATAGGTACATTACTAAAACAAATTTTGAATAATTGACTCCTAAACTTTTACTCCCCTTTTTAAAACATAGCATATAATCACTTGGTCCTGCAAAAAATATATCCTCTTTTTAGCCAAAAAAAATATAACTATATTTTCTCCATGCCTTCATTAATGGTTCGTTCAGAATAAATAATAATAATAATAACAACAACAACAACAACAACAACAACAACAATAATGATGATGATGATAATGATAATAATAATCTCCATGATGATAATGATGATGATACTAATAATATGAAAGATATGCTTAAATAATTGTTTTTGAGTAATTGATGGAAGAAACATGTATAAATTGAAAAAAAAAAGATGAAGATAGAAAAAACTAAAACACGTTAAAAGAGACAGAAAAAAGTCAGAAAATATTGAAAATTAAGTGTTAGGGCCCCCAAAAATTGAGCCTTAGGCCCCGTTTGGTATACGGAATTCAAACTATGGAATTACAATTGAAGACTTCAATTCCAATTCTGGTATTTGGTAGTACAAAAATTATGTGGATTTGGAATTGATAGTGCAAAAAATGGTATTCGTGAATTCAATTCTATGGAATTGAATTCCATGGAATTTCAATTCAAATTCCATCAATTCCGTATACCAAACGGACCCTTGATGTACAATAGTTTTAAATAAATTGAAAACAATCATATTGAAATATAAAGCAAGAATAGAATTAATTTCTTTTGTTCAAAATTTCCTTTGTTTCTGGATAAAAAGAGATTTTGAAAAATGAAGGGACATACTCGAGAGTAAAAATGTGTAAATAGGGGTTAGAATATGGTGAGCTGGGTCCAGCCCAATTTTTAAATGAATGGATCGAGACTTAAGATTTGCCCGTTAGGTCCATTATGCCCGCCCATTATCCAAAAAGTATATTTCCTCCGTCTTGAAGTATTTGCTTATTTTTTATTTTTTGGTCGAAATAGGTAAACTTTGATACTAAATTAGATAAAAATAATATTAGATATTGATATAATTTTATTAGATTTATTATATAAAATATTTTCAAAATATTATTTTATCTAATTAATATACAATATATATTTTATTTAATTATAAGTGAAAGTTTGAAAATAGTTGACCGAATAAAGTCAAAATTGGACAAAAACTAAAGGAAAAAGGTAGTATATATTAGTGTAATAGTGTATTATATTATTAGTCTTTGTAATGTGCTCTCAAGTTGGAACCTATATTATTTTTTTGAAAAATGCTAGGGGTACACCTTCCATTTGTCCCCCACCCCCTTTGGTGTACACCTTTGGTGTACGCTAGAAATGAACGTCTAGACGGACACCTTGACAAATGAGGTGGGCCAAAACCTACTCTGATACCATGATAGAATTTAGGATGGGGTATGGATCATTGGATTGGACAATAAGACACTTAGGTTAAACCACATTAAAAGATTGAATCCAATCGATTAGTTAGTTCAACTCAATAGCTATATACCGATTAATTTCCTCACACATTTCCGATGTGGGATACTTTTAACAAAATGAACTAAAAATAAGATTTGTATTTGATTAATATTTGAATAGTTAACGAATCCTAAACGAATATTTGAATAATCATACTCCGTAATTTATATGTCGATTTTGAATAATTTAACTTACGATATCTCTTATACCATATCTAAAAATATCAATAAATCTGTGTCTTATACAAATTATATTTTATAAAATATAACTATTAAAAATTGCATGCTTTAAATTTTTGTATTACGTTAATATCATGAAATCTTAGTAAGCTAAATGCAATTTATATAGTACTAGATTGCTTGATTAGTGATGTTGAAAGCATGGTCTGTGTACATAAATATAATCGAATATTCGAATATCATCCGAATCGAATGCACCTCAATTTGTATTTGTATACAACAACAACAACCAAGTTGAATCCCAATTGTATTTGTTTAATATTTGAATCAAAACTAATATTTGAATTTGTATTTGTATTTGAATAACACGAATTCGAATCATCATATTCGAATACGAATCACGAATCGAATTTAAAATATTTGATTTGTTTACATCCCTAGGCCTCGACCCACTTAAATGAGTGGATATTAATATACTAAGTGTAGTAGTTTTGAGCAATGATGTTCCCAAACAGAATGCTCACAAACTTTACAAACTTACTATTTATGATTTAAATTTTCATTTTAAAATTATTTTAGACTATTTAATTTTTTTATTGAGTTCACAAATAGTAAGTTTGTGAAGTTGGTGACTATTGTGTTTGTGAACCAATCATTTCCCAGTAGTCTCAGCCTATGTGATTTAAGGCATGTCAGAACAATCAATATAAATTGATAATTATTCAATCATGTTAAGAGTACACCAAAAAGTGTACTCTAAGTTGTACGTCAAAGGGATACACTGATATTTTTACGGTTCACACTGAAATAAAATGTTAGTTCACCAAAAAATATTTACAGTGACATTTTGTGTCAGTGTAAATCATCACACTAACACAAAATGTTGGTGATGGATACCCTGAAATGGGGGTATCCGGGCCCAACAGAAATAGCGGCCCAACCCAGTCAGGTTCAGGCCTACTCAGCTGGGCAGAACTAAAAAGAAACTGAAGTCTCAAGAGGGCCGCTGCCGCATCAAGACTTGCATGCACTCGACGCCGGTTGACACGCTCAGCCTTGGACCACCCTCGGCCGGTCCCCCGTCGGAGGACTTCATGGAGCAGATCACTTGTACTCGGCCTCGACCTAGGGTGCCGCCGGACCAGGGTTGCAGGGCATGGAGGCTACGTGACTAGTCAAATCAAGGGACCCACAATGAGACGCTTGCCACGCCTCTGTCAGATTAGTTGTAGCGACCCTACTTGTAACCTATCTTGTATAGCCTTAGGGATAATGATGTGGTTGGCGCCGTCGGTTAAGCGGCCAAATATTAGTGGGCCCGATCCGTTGGACTTTGGACCAATGGTCGGGAACCCCATTTGTAGTTTGTATGTAAGTCCCTTTCTTAAGAGAAAGGAGAACACGTTCTCTTACGCACTAATACTTACAATCTTACTTAATTCCTAACTTGAGCAATCTCGACTTAATTTCAATACTCTTTCGCCTAGTCTCCTAAGCTCCCGGGTTCCATAACCCAAGAGTTAGTTGGTGCATGCCTTCGGGATACTAAATAGAATACGATTTACGGTGGGGTTGTAGAGACAACCACTTTTGATAACAATAGCAGTGCCACTGTCATTTTAGAGCACTTCCAGTGCTCCATTTGCCAAATTGACGGTTTCTACCCCTAAACCCAACCTACCCCGCCCCTACACCCTACCCCAACCCAGCAGTAAGCCCCGCCTCAACTGTGGTTTGACGATTGCTCCACTTTGGCCCCTTTTCTCCACTGGTTGGTAGCGTCAGGTGATCATCTTCCTTTCTTCATCTAACTTTTCTTCCTCCAATTGGATTGATTCCTTCGTTCCTACGATCCTACGTTTATACATATCGTTATCTGAATCTGGATTTTGCTTTTTGGTTGGCCCGTTTTTGTGTGTTTCCAGGCCGAAGAAGCAATAACTTGCTTGTTTGTTTGATTGCTCGAACGAAAAGTGAAATAAACGATGGGTAGGCTTTTCCTAACTTTCCTGGAAGGGAATATGTACGGATGCAAGTACTGTCACACGCATCTGGCTCTCGAGGATGACATTGTGTCTAAGGTCTCTCTATTAACTCTCTGTAATCAATGTGTGTGTCATGTTTGGCATGTGAAATTTGCAGAATTAGTGTATTCATAGTTTTGGTTGATCTTTTCTGGGAATGATTGTGTACTCTCATGATTAGTTTCAGCTGCTGTGAAATGCCTGATAGAATAGAATGTTAGGTGAGATTGATCGGGTTAGGCAGGATCTAGGTGAAAAGCACGAGGGCGCAACCATGAAAATTCCCAGGCTCTGCTTGGAGAAGATTTTGGAGCAATGTTTGTAAAGTACTTGCATCAATTTGTCATATCATTCTTGTTCGGTTTATCAGTTTATGTAATGGCTTTGGAAATTCATGTGCTTAGATATGGCTATTTAGTTTTTAGCACCAGTGTGCTATGAATGTTGGTGAGGTAGACAAAGGTAGTAAAGGAGAAATGCATTTGGCACAAGCTTATTTTTTGTGTTTCTGTCTAAGTGTATAATGTCCTCTTTAAGAATAGCTGTTTAAGCTTATTACTTCCAAAATCAAGCATTTGTTTGTATCCACGCGGCGTAGGGGCCAAACACTGTCACATTTAAGCATCTTTTACGGTTAAGGAACTTAACACAGTTTTTTAATGGTAATCTTCAACATTGATTAGTTCTTACATTTTTTATTCTCCATCTGACCACACTTCAGTTTGGTATTTTGGTCTTTCGGACACTAGCCACTGATCTTGACATCTTGTAGTCCTATTGAGGACTTAGTACGTATTATTCTGGCATTGAAGCCCTTGTATGCCTTGAAACAGAAAAAGGTCCTCCTCCGGAAGGACAAACCGGCCCTAATTTCAAAGTCTTTTTTTTGCAATCACAATGTACAGCATGATTTTTTTGGTTATTGGTTGTTCTTTATCTATGCTAGTGGATTTCTTATCCATGAAATGATTGTTTTCCATGTGATTCATACACACTTGTGTAAACTATAATATATCCCATTTATCTCTACAAATAGTCAGCATTCCCTCAAATCATCTGACATATTCTAACCCAAGTTTAATGTTCGTTTCCAGTCATTCCAAAGCAGTCATGGGAACGCTTATCTATTTGATAAAGTGTTAGTGCTCTTTGCTTATTCAGTTATATTACTAATCACATAAACTCAGTTGTTAGAAAAATGCTCTCTTGTGGTACTCATATGCAGAACGAAACTGATATGTTTTGGCGTAACTGTTTATACTTCTAAATGGTATGAATGATACCGAGTCTCCTCTTATGCTACACAGTGTGAATGTTACTGTTGGTGAGAGAGAAGATAGGATGATGACAACTGGAATGCACACTGTTGTTGACATATTCTGTGTGGGTTGTGGCTCTCCTCTTGGTTGGAAATATGTGAGCCTCTCTTAGTCTTTAACATTCACATTGCAAACGAAACCAAAATGTCCACTATATCTTACCCAACTCTGAATTAGGGTCTCTGAATGGGTAGATGCACATAGACCTTACCCTTCACCTCTATTTCTATGAGTTGAGAGGTTCCCGCTTTCACATTCTCTTCACACCGTTTCACTTAGAACAGTGATTGTTGACGGAATTACCCGATGATGCTTTGTCTTCTGTTGATTTCAGGAGATTGCACGGGAAAAGCTTCAGAAGTACAAGGAAGGAAAATTCATTCTGGAGAGGTATCAATTGCTTAACCTTTTTGGAGTTCTTCTCACGTTTAGGGCCAGTTTGGTATGAACACTTGTGAGTTTTTTTATATGTATCTGTCAACTACAACACAATTTAGGTATATGATTTTGGGGCCAAATGGGACGAACTATTTGATGAGTCCAGATGCCGAGGTTGATGGCAGTGATGCCGATGAAGAATGAGGACTGTGATTACTCTGGGAATGATAGTAATAATAATAAAATGATAAATACCAATTCTTCTCTAATTGCACTTCTCTTCTAGCTACAGAAGTTACAAAAGAACAGGTGCGTGTAGTAGCTAGGCAGCTATAATTCTCAGGATATAGTGTCTTTTTTTTCTTTTGAGTTTATATCTTTTGTAGCAATCATTAACAACAAAGTTCTCTATCAAAGTTCTTGTTGATTTGGAACCATAATTTCCAAATATGGATGGTTTGTTGCTTATGGCTCTTCGTGCCACTCTTCTAAGGACTATTGAAGTTTATGAAAGTCTCATTGCCAAGTAGCAGTGGAGTCTTTTTCTCAGGACCCTAAATCAAACACTGAGGAGGATGAAAGATAAAGGAACAAGATAGTGAGACTAAGTTCTGGACAGAAAATAGATTATAATGAAAATCTGGGACATGTAAAACATCAAGGAGTTCTATTCCATTTTGTAAGAGAACATTTCCTACATGTAAAACACTTGCTTTGTGTCTTTTAGATATAGTAATGGAGCAGGGTTTAAAGATGTGCTTATATGAGGAAAATTTGTTTAGATCGAGAGTAATATGATAGGATGCTTCATTAGTTGATTTTGGATTAACTTGTAAGAACTCCTAGTGGAACCACATCTACAACTAGGCAATGTCACCAAGGTAAGATGGGTTTCCCAAAATCCCTTCAATTTGGTGAAATGTTCACATATAGAATCAGTCCCTTGGATAAGTGTTATCATTTCTTCATGTAATTGGGATAACCTGAGACCATCATTTGTTTGTCAGAGTTTTTCCTTTATATCTTACCAAAATTTCTGTGCAGATTCACAGTGACAGGATGCTATTCACAACATCAGTTTTAACAGAATGTAAAATTCAAGAATTTACTACTCCCTCCGTTCCAATTTTTATTACTTGTTTTGATTTACGATGTTTGACTAAAATTATTTTTTAAAATCATTTTATATGAAAAATGGAGTGAAATTAAAAAATAAAAATTACATATTACTCCCTCTTTCCTAAAATGATATTCCGAGTCACTATTCACATGGTCAAATTTTAATCACTTTCTTTACTTATTTTCGTTAGTTATTTGACAAAATAATATAGTCATGTTATCTTTTATTTTTTAGAACTTTTGATGTAGTTTTAAAATATTTGATTTTTATTTTAGTAAATTTTATAATTGGTCCTTTATAACATGAGTTTTTTTATTTAGTTCTCTATTATCAAATACTGTCCCGGTGGTCTTTCTTTGATGTGTAGCTTTCCACAAGCAGGCCTTTTTATGATTTTTTGTCATGTTGAGTTAATTTGAGGGTTAAAACTGTAATTTCACAATGATTATATATATATTTCTTGGCATAGACAATTCCAGAGTGCGCTTCTGATGCGCTGTTTGTAAATTATGGTCGCTTTCTACTACAGCTATAGTCTATAGATATGGTCTTTCGTTGAAATCTTATCTCATAGTCATAGCCATTTGATGGAAACCGCTTTTTTGAGGCGTTGACCCGACGAACTCGGTCCCAGGTTGGCACCGCATCGAATAGCGAAATCCGAAAAATAAATAAATAAATAAATAAAGCGGAGAGAAAGTATTTATACGTGGAAACCCAAATCGGGAGAAAATCACGAGCCTTTTTAGGTGGTGTCATGCCAAAGGGAGAAACTTTTATTAATCTCGTGGGAATTTACATATACATCATTATAGAAACTTGAAGCCATTAATGGAGCTCCAAGCTTAAAGAAGAAGGAAGAATAGTAATAGGAGCTTGTAGGAATTTGGTCTCCTTCCTACTCTCTCTTTTTAAAGGAGGAAAATGAATGAGATACTGGGAGACAAAGGATTATGCCTGAGTCCCGCCAAATATATCCTTGGGCCCTAGTCAATATTTATATATCTCATCAAATTATGTTCTTCGTCTTCATATCTCTGGCTCCGTCTTGAATAATTTATTTGATTTATATCTTGGGCTCGATAAAATTAGGTTTACTTGTACTGTTCAAATAATATTGGATTAGGTAAAATTCCTAATCAATCACATGCCCCCAAGTTTTGAGTCTGTCTAGACAGATTCAGAAACTATATGACTCGGTGGGTTGCCTCATGGGATAAAACTTTTCTCAGTGGTTCGAGAAGAGGACTTTCTTTTTTTGAGGGTCTCGTTACCCCGTGAGTAAGAATTTAACTTGGTGCCTCTCGAAAGAGGACTTTTCTCGGGAATTTGTGCTACTTGGAAGAGAGCTTTTCTTTCTTTTTGGGCCTCTTAGAAGAGGGCTTTCTCAGGATTTGGTGCCTCTTTAAAAAAGACTTTTCTCATGGATTTGTGCCTCTTGGAAGAGGACTTTCTTTGGACTTAGTAGCTCTTGAAAGAGGACTTTCTCGGGACTTGGTGCATCTTGGAAGAGGACTTTCTCAGGACTTGGTGCCTCTTGGAAGAGAGCTTTTCTCGGAGATTTGGGCCTCTTGGAAGAGGACTTTCTTGGGACTTTATGCCTCTTTGGAAGAGGACTTTTTTGGGACTTTGTGCCTCTTTGGAAGAGGACTTTCTCGGGACTTGGTGCCTCTTAGAAGAAGACCTTTCTTTCTTTTTTAGTGCCTCGGAAAGAGGACTTTCTCGGGACTTGGTGCCTCATAAAAGAGGACCTTTCTTTCTTTCTAGTGCCTCGGGAAGAGGACTTGGTGCCTCGGGGAAGAGGACTTTCTTTGGACTCGCTTTTCAATTTTCTTTGGGAGCCTCTAAAACCACAACCCGATATCTATCTCATGGTGGTTGGGTGCTCCGATCTTATTGAAGGATAGACGTTTCATGTCCATCTCTCTTTTTAACTCTGTTCTCTATCTTGGTACGGGACTCTATGATTATCTCCAGTAATTTGATCACCTAACTCTGATCGAATTACCAATCTCTACTTTATACTCTTTTACAGTATTACTTTTCTCAACTTGTAAAACTTATCTATTGTATTTCTTATGGATGGGACTCGCAGGACAAGGGTCGAACATGCTTGTTGGACCACAATGAAGTTTGTCGGAAGACGTGGCTCGCTGGTAGACGAAGGGTCTTTGGATAGTGGACGCCGGACGGCTTACTGGACTCCTAGGCTCCCTAGAGGACGGAAGATCTCTAGACAGTGGACAGAGGACATCTCACTGGACTCCCTTACTCCTTAGAGGACAGAGGAACTCTGGACAGTGGACTCCCTTGCTCCCTAGATGCAATTCTTGGAAGGACCCTGGAACCTATAACGGACCACTTGAGGCCGGCGTCGTCTCTTTGAGAGTCCAATGAAGTTGGAATGGACTTCTTGAGGCTAGCTCCGTCCCTTGGATGGATCCTAGAAGTTGGAACGGTCCACTTGAGGCTAGAGCGGTCCATTTGAGGGACCTATGAAGCTGGAACGAACCACTTGAGGCTAGAGTCGTCCCTTGGATGGATCCTAGAAGTTGGAACGGTCCACTTGAGGTCGGCGCCGTCCATTTGAGGGACCAATGAACCGGGAATGGACCTCTTGAGGCTTGAGTCGTCCCTTGGATGAATCCTAGAAGTGGGAACGGTCCATTTGAGGCTGGCGCCGTCCCTTGGATGGTTCCTAGAAGTTGGAACGGTCCACTTGAGGCCGACGTCGTCCATTTGAGGGACCAATGAAGCTGGAACGGAATTTTTGAGGCTAGCGTCGTCCCTTGGATGGATCCTAGAAGTGGGAACGGTCCACTTGAGGCCGGCGCCGTCCATTTGAGGGACCCATGAAGCTAGAGCGGACTTCTTGAGGCTAACGTCGTCCCTTGGATGGTTCCTAGAAGTTGGAACGGTCCACTAGAGGTCGGCGCCATCCATTTGAGGGTCCCATGAAGCTGGAATGGACCTCTTGATGGTAGCTCCGTCCCTTAGATGGATCCTAGAAAATGGAACCGTCCACTTTAGGCCGGTGCCGTCCATTTGAGGGACCCATGAAGCTGGAATGGACCTTTTGATGGTAGCGTCGTCCCTTAGATGGATCCTAGAAAATGGAACCGTCCACTTTAGGTCGGTGCCGTCCATTTGAGGGACCCATGAAGCTGGAATGGACCGCTGTAGTGAGGGAACTCATCGGACGGATAAGAGTTGACTTTTCCCTTTCCTCCCTCTTTTTCTACGATTCCCTCTTTCTTGGCCAATCTCAAATCTATCCTTTTTTTACTCACTACTTCCGTTCTTTTTTTGTGAAGTCCCTCTCACTTTTTCTTTGTTCTTTTTTTGGTTTCTCTCCCACTTTTCTTTCTCTTTTTTTAAGGGCTCGGAGCACATAAAGTTTTCGTAACCGAGGTCCCACGGGTGGCGCCAATGATGGAAACCGCTTTTTCGGGGCGTCGACCCGACGAACTCGGTACTGGGTCGGCATCGCACCAAATAGCGAAATCCAGAAAATAAATAAATAAATAAATAAAGCGGAGAGAAAGTATTTATATGTGGAAACCCAAATCGGGAGAAAACCACGGGCCTTTTTAGGCGGTGTCATGCCAAAAGGAGGAACTTTTATTAATCTCGGAGAAATTTACATATACATCATTGTAGGAACTTGGAACCATTAATGGAGCTCCAAGCTTAAAGAAAAAGAAGAAGGAAGAATAGTAATAAGAGCTTTGTAGAAATTTGGCCTCCTTCACTCCTTTGTACTCTCTCTTTTTAAAGGAGGAAAATGAATGAGATAGTGGGAGACAAATGATCATGTCTGGGTCCCGCCAAATATATCATTGGGCCCTAGTCAGTATTTATATATCTCATCAAATTATGTTCTTTGTCTTCATATCTCTAGCTCCGTCTTGAATAATTTATCTAATTTATATCTTGGGCCAAATAAAATTGGGGTTACTTGTACTGTTCAAATAATATTAGATTAGGTAAAATCTCTAATCCATCACCATTATTGTTGTGTTGTCCATCTAACAGGAATCAGAATACGTTACTGAACATAATGTTGATGTCCAATTACATTTTTAGTCCTTAAATTAATATCAACATGACAGAATATCAAAGAAAGACTATTTGCTGAAAAGTATCATAAAAGAAAGACAACGGGGACAATATTTGATAATAAATGACTAAATAGGGAAAACTTCTTGTTATTAAGGACCTATTATAGAATTTACTCTTTTTATTTTTTAATTTTATATCTATAATCAAGTAAATTGAATTGAAAATAATTTCAGTCAAACCTCATAAATTGAATTGAGAAGATTATTTTATGACGGAGGGAGTAATAAACTTGTAATTAAAAAACGTTTCAGAATGAACACTACATTATTTCATAATGAATACTACGTTATTTGAGAATGAATACTATAATGAGCAGAGTAGGCTTGGAATGAATACTACATTGTTTTAGAATTACTACTATGTTGTTTGTAAATAAGTACAAAGTATTATAATTCTATGGATAAATGTATGAAATTGAACACTACGTTAGTACGTTGTTTGAGAATGTATAATATGTTAAATTAAAATGAGTATTTGTTAGTTGTACCTGGCTCTAGGTACACCTGACTCTCTCGGAAAAGAACTATACTAATATTGTGCTATCCAAGTTGGATATTTTTCTTCAATGATACTCAATATTTATTTTTTTATACAATTTGATAATGATGATGATGATGATGATGATCAAAATAATAATAATAATAATCAAAATAAATAGGTTGAGATGAGTAATAAATAGGTTGAGAGGGTATGTATCAACATATACTATAATTGTAATAAAGGTATTAATGTTAAAAAATAATAATATAGTGATTTCTCCTATTATTTTAAATTTCAAAAATACTGTTATAAGTACACGGTAATAAAAATTCTGATAAATAAGCATTTCAAAAGTCCCAATTCAACATACTTGTCTAAGGGGCTGTTTGGTAACTTCTGAATGGGTAAGTGCTGAACCAGTAAGAGGTCTGAACCATTAAGTGCTGAACAAGTAAAAGGTCTGAACCATTAAGAGCTAGTATATTGTTTAACTATTCAGAGGCAAATGTCTGATCAATTCAGATAAGAGCTCTTAATCATTGACTCTGTATAATACTTAACCATTCAGAAGCAAATCTCTTAACCATTCAGACATCTGAACCATTAAGAGGCTGAAACAAACAGTCTGAACCATTAAGTGCTGAATCATTCAGACATCTGAACCATTAAGAGGCTGAAACAAACAGCCCCTAAGTGTTGTTAGGTTGGAAGAAGGAAAGGAAATTTGTAATTTTAGCTTTAAATCCCTCCCCAAGTCCCACCCCCTCCAAATCAATCCCTCCAAATAATTCGTAATTATTTATAAGCATTTTTAATATAAATTTTATTTAAATTATTACTATTATTGTTAGTATTAGTATTACTATTATTATTACTATTATTATTATTACTATTATTATTATTATTATTATTATTATTATTATTATTGTGGCGACGGGTGGGACTGTAGTACGGTTGAGACGTTTGAGTAGGAGAGATGTAGTGCGGTTGGGGAGTTTGGCTCGTTTGCTAATGACCAAAACCAGCCTGATTGAAATTGGCATATGATTGAACCCGAGCATGATTGGGTTGGTCCGGTCCATTTTAGGAAATTTAAATAAGAGTAAAAAATAATCTTAAAAAAGTGAGAATAAAGAATAAATAAAGAAACATAAGAAGAAGAAATATTTGCACTAAATAGAACTAAAATTTAAGTCATTTCCCTAAATAGCTCTTAAATTGTTTTTTCCTAAATAACATTTAATACTGTCCAGAAGGAGGAATAATTTACAGTGATGATGAACATTTACTTGAAGAATGACTAATGGATAATGACTAAAAATGTTACATTAGGAAAAAAACACATATGATGCTATATAGGAAAAGTCATTATGATTTAATGTTATTGAAGTAAATTTCCCTAAGAAGAAACATTAGTGGAGACGGAATGGATGAAAATTTGGGGTAGAAGAAGTGGTTGGTTTAAAAAGAGGAGGAAATTAAATTTTTTTTACCCAACGGTCAGATTCTCAAAAAATAAAATAAAAAAATAAAGCCGTTGGAAATCTCGGTGTGATCGGTGTCTGCATGCTTCCCACGCCGAGTCCTGGCATGTTCGTTGAAAGCCTTTTGATTCAATCTTTTAATGTGGTTTATCCCAAGTGTCTTATGACCAAATCCAAGAATTTCTACCCCATTCTAATTTTATCATTTTACCATATAGTCAATTTTAGTACACCTCATTTGTTAAAGTGCCCGTGTAGAAGTTCATTCTAGCGACTCATTGGTCTTTAGCCTAGTTTGCCGTATGAAAAATAGAATGTGGCTCATATAATCTGATTATTCGTCCGAAAGTCCATACACAACGATTTGTGGTCTTTTAGGAATTGACACTTTCGATCATTTCATTTCATGAAGAAGGGGAGTCCTTTTACAAATAGTCAACCAGTTAGATACAAAATGACTCGTTGTCTACTTGAAATGGAGTGTTAAAGTATTCTAAATCGAAAATTAAAGAAAAAAATAATCAGTATATAAACGGTTGAGTGAATTAAGTAATTGATTGGATTCATCTTTTAATTAATATAGTTTAGTTCAAGTGTCTTATGACTAAATCTAATGGTCCCTAACCTATTTTAAATTTTATCAACATGCCTCATATATATTTTCAATAGAAAAATACATTTTCTGAATATAAAAAAAGAGTACCTTTTTTCAACGTGATTTGTAATTTATATATAATAATTTAATGAAGTACCGTAAAAAATACGAGTAATGATTTAAAATGAAGCTATGAAAAGAAAAACTTGCTGTGGCAATAAGTGGGTAACGTGAGCACCAATCGTTTCTATTCTGGTCAATCACAAAGAAACATTTGATTTTAATATTTTAATCGTTTCTATTCTGGTCAATCACAAAGAAACATTTGATTTTAATATTTTAATCGTTTCTATTTGTTGCTAAAAACATATCTTTACTCACCCCCTTTGATTGTGATTTACAAGAATATTTAAAAAACAATGGATATATTAATTTTAATTTTCGTTTGTATATTAAAAATAAAATAGGTCGTTTGTATATTGTAAATAAAATTAATATATCCGTTGAAATATTGGAATAATAATATTGTTCTCTTTGAATTATGAAGTACATGATAGAGTATATATAAAAGAGACTCCTAACACAACTAGGAGTAGAGAATAGAAACTAACTAAAGCCACAAATAGGAATAGGAAGCTGACTAATAATTAAACACTATCATAACTAATACTACAAGAAGTACTATTAGTATTATTGTCTAACATCCCCCTCAAGCTGAACTCTGGCTGAAGCAAGAGGAAGCTTGGACACTAGCTGGACTGAAAACTTTGAAAAGAGAAAGGATTGACGTGTGCTGATGGTTACTGACGTCATTAGAAAAGAGAGAAGTCTGACATGCGCAGATGGCTGCTGACGTCGTTGGAGAAGAGATAAGTCTGACGTGCACCAGTGGCTGCTGACGTTGTTGGAGAAGAAAGAAGATTGACGCGCGCTGGTAGCTGCTGACGTCGAAGAAGAAGAGAGAAGGTTGACGTGCGCTTGCAGCTGCTGACGTCGAAGAAGAATAGAGAAAGCTAATGGAGGTGCCTGTTTGATTGTAGATCTTAGACATTTTTGTCTTTTTCTTGGATCCGAGCAATGTCCTATTTCCTTTCTTGGTTCAACAAAAGAGAAAGAGAAGGGAGATTAAGAATTGGTGATGGAAAAAAGATTTGGGTGTGATATTTTGATATGGTGAATTAGAGAGAAACAACAATAATTTTTTTTCCTTTTTTTGAGAAGATAGAATAAGTTGAGAGAGTTTGTGAGGAGTTGGGTTTTTTTGAAGAACCATGAAGATGACAAGATGGAAGTTCTTCCTTTGACGGTTTTTTTATTTGTGTGATTTCAAAAAGGTTTTTTTCCATTTGAATGGAGAAGTTGATTTGAGGATAAAAGAAGGAAAAGAAAATAGAGGTGAATAGGATGGAGCCGCCGTCGCCGGAATTACCGGTGGCGGCGGTGGGAGCAAAGATGTATTTTAGGTCACCAAGAGCGATGACTCTGATACCATGCTTGAAATATTGAAATAATAATATTGTTCTCTTTGAATTATAAAGTACATGATAGAGTATATATATAGAAGAGACTCTTAACACAACTAAGAGTAGATAATAGAAACTAACTAAAACCACAAATAGGAATAGGAAGCTGACTAATAATTAAACACTATCATAGTCAATACTACAAGAAGTACTATTAGTATTATTGTCTAACAATATCCATTGTTAAGAAATTGTATATTCATACTTTTCTCTCTCCTCAATTAAGTTTCCTCCCCCCTCTCGTACTCTTTTCCAAACTCGTCGCTGAGTTTGAAGCTCTAAACCCAAAACTGAAATGATCACTTCTCTCTCAATTATTAGACTTCCTGGTGGAACCTAAAATCAAAACCAATAAGCTTTATAGATGAGTTTTATCGGTTAGTCTCAAGAAATTGGAAAGGAAATAAACATTAAAACTCGTCATGAAGGTTACTGGTTTCGAATTTGGGTTCCACCAGTTCGACAAACTATTGAGAAAAGAATGATGATTTTGGTTTTGGATTCAAAGCTTCAAACTCAGCGACGGGTTTGGGAAAGGAGTGCGAGTGGATGGAGGAATCTTAATTGAAGAGAGAAATGAGTTTGAATTTACAATTTTATCCACATTCTTAACTAAAATGTTAATAAAGGACCATTTGTGGAAATGAATCTAATAATTGGGGACTAAATTATTAATATTTGATATATAGGGACTAAATATGTAAAATGATCTATAACTGAGGACCTTTTATGGAATTTATTCTATAATTTAACTATAAATATTGTATTGAATAAGACAAAATAATTATTCCCCGACACTAGAATATTTAAAAGGAAAAAACACTTCAATTCCTATTGCTACGTTGACATAAAAGTACACTTTACCAAAACTTCTCTTCTCCTCCTCCCACAAAGTCAATCATCTCTCTCTCTCTCTCCATTCTCTGTGTCTTGTTTGGCTTGCTTCTTCTTCAGAGGATCATTCAACAAAAGCCAGAACATGACCCTAATTAGAAAATTACATTCATGAATAAGAAGAAAAAGAAGATGATTGTGTTCCACCTCCACGGCTACAGATTCTGCAGCCGCACGAAGCTGCAAGTTTTCTCCGCCGCCAGCCTCGCCGCCATCGTCATCGTCATCTTCTTCTCCGACACATCTCCACCACCATCTTTTCCCGGACGCCACCGGAATAATAATCCCACGCCGTTAAAGAGAGATTCCATCGAATCCCAATCAGCCCGCCTCGTTCCTCCTCCCAATGCCACCGCGAGGCAGAGGATGCTCTGGTTCAAGAACGCCTTCCCCCAGATCTTCAAATCCAATGAAAATTCAAGAAGAGATCAATTTGACCAAAGGGTCAGAAAATTCTACTCCGAAAGAGAGTGTAAAGTGAGATTCTTCACCACGTGGATCGCTTCTCCCGATTCTTTCGGAGCTAGAGAGTTCTTGTCAATGGAGAGCATCTTCAAGGCCCATCGTCAAGACGCGTGCTTGATCATCCTCTCCCAGTCTCTTGATTCCGAGCTCGGGAGAGGAATTCTGAGCCCGATGATCGAGTCGGGGTTTGGGGTCATCGCGATGACGCCCGATTTACCCTCTCTGCTGGAGAAAACTCCAGCAGAGAAATGGTACGAGGATTTGAGAAATGGGGAAAAGGACCCCGGGGAGATACCCTTTGCTCAGAATCTCTCAAACTTGATCCGGTTGGCATTTCTCTATCGATACGGAGGGGTATTTTTGGACACGGATTTTATCGTGACGAGAAGCTTTTCGAAACTCAAGAACTGCATTGGAGCGCAGAGCGTGGACCGACGCGGGAAGTGGACGAGGCTGAATAACGCGGTGCTGGTTTTCGAACCCGGGCACGCATTGGTGCACGAGTTCATGAGGGAATTTGCCCTAACGTTTGATGGGAACAAGTGGGGGCACAATGGTCCATATTTAGTGTCAAGGGTGGTGGATCGAGTGTCGAAAAATGACTCTTTTAGCCTCACCGTGTTGCCACCGATGGCGTTTTACCCGGTGGATTGGATTCACATTGACGGGTTTTTCGAGAAGCCGAGGGATGATAGACATGGGAGATGGATGGAAGCTAAGATGGCTCAATTGAGGGAAGATGGGACTTATGGAATTCATCTATGGAATATGCAAAGTAGGAGAAAGAGGATTGAGAAGGGTAGTATTATTGGCACCATTTTTTCCCAACATTGTATCATTTGCAAAGGTATTTATGATTCTTAAATGTAATGAGTTTATGGCTTTATTTGTTAGATGGTCTGATACACAATTACAAACAAGGCCTTGTCACTTGTGTGGTTTATTACTTGTATAAATTTAAGTAGCTAGCTAGAGTGTTTCATCTTCATTATTCATGTATGCTTGTTTGGAATTTTAATAATGATAGTGTTTTTTTCAATTACTTTTTTTGGTTAATATTAGCGGATAAATTTGGGACTGTTTTACTAACTTTTAAGGCTAAAAATGACGTTTGGGTATATTTAGATTTTTCGAAAACTTGTTATTTCTTTTCAACTTTTATTTCTCTAACAAAAATTAATTTAAAGATTATTTACCCTATAAAATAAAACACAACAATAACAACAACCCAGTTAAATCCTACAAGAGTAGAGTCTGGAGAGGGTGTGTGTACGCAGACCTTACCCCTACTCGAAAGTAGAGAAGCTGTTTCCAAAGAGACCCCCGGCTCAACGTCGAAAGTTGCATTGCTTGACTAACTGCTACTTCATTAATTAAAGAAGCGCAGACAGTTTAGAGATTCATTTTGATTTATTCCATCACACCCCAAAGCCAAAATTTCACCATCGGAAATGAGTCTCAAATATTCTTTAAGAGCTTATTCTCTTGAACTTATTATCTAATTAATTCTGATCTGATTCGATTAAGTTCTGACGTGATCTAATTATATTTATATTTAAAATGGTTTTTGATTTAATCTAATTTGATTATAGTAAAAACAAATTGTTAGTAAAAGGAATACATTAAAATGAACAAGTTCGATCTAAATCTTTAACTAAATGCGAAAAGCCACTCGTCTAGACTCTAGACACGAATCTTTCTTTCTGATTCTCTATCATCATATTCCCACGTTCCTTCAGAAAAGATCCCATGTTACTTTTTTAAATGCACGGAAATAATTTTTAATACGGAGTACTCCGTGTTATGTTTTTTTTGAGTATTTGTTCACTTTTAATTTTTTTCGATCAAAATTACTAAATTTTGATCTCAAATTAAATAAAAAAAATATTAGATATGGGAAAAAGACTTAAGTAGGGGTAAAACATTGAAAATATACCAAAATAGAATTTTGATGTTTTTATTCTCAAAATAGGAGTTAAAAGGCATTTACATTACCAAAAAGTATAGTAATATGCACATGTATAGTGCCACATTATAATCACATTACCACAGTGCGAAGTTCTATTTCATGAATAAAAATATGAAACTCCTATTTTGATACTTTTTTCTATGTTTTAGTCCTATTTAGTATGATTTCTAATTAGATATTGATACAAAATAGTTTTATTAGATTTATTATATCAAATACTTTCAAAATATTATTTTATCTAATTAATATAATATATATACTTTATTTTATTATAGGTCAAATGTTGAAAATAGTTAACCAAAAAAAGTCAAAAATGGACAAATACTCAGGGACGGAGGTAGTAATTTTTTTCCTATACTTTCAACTTGGCGTGATATCAACTTCTTCTTTTTCATGACATCCGCTTTCTATATTTCATTTTCATTTAGGGGTGTAGATTCATATTTCATCTTTAAGCTTTTTTTTAAATTTTTTTAAATATTACTTTTATAGTTAAATTTGCCCCGCATGGTACCAAAATTTGGTGCCTTTCCCCTTTTAGTACCACTTGTTTTTTTTTTCAAAAATGGAACTAATTTGCACTCGATCTCCCTATTTTACCCTCTCTTATTTACGTCTAAATTTCACCTTCTTCTCCGATTCAATTTTCCGCCGCGCGCTCTCTTCTTCGTCTTTCTGCAAATCGATCATACTCTTCTCTCTCAAATCAATGTCTGCTCAACCTCCTTCATATCATATATTGCTGAATGTTGATGGCGAATGGAGTGATGATTCCTCCTTTCATTCTAAACGTAACTGTGAGTTGGAAATCCATTATGAAAATTCTTTCGCAAACCTAATGAACGCTGTTCGTGTAGCGATTGGTGACGATTGTGCGCAATATGATTTTTGATTTTCGTATTTGTTGCCAGTTTGCCCTCCTCCTGTTGTTATTGATGATGATTCCAGTTTTCGATTTTACTTGCAACTGAAATCCTTTTACAGAGATGCTGTGATGTTGCCATTATGTGTTCAATTCTTCCCCAATTTGCTCAACGCAACATCAAATCCTGTTTTGCCTTTGATTTCACATGCTCAATCTAGTCCTCAGCCTCCATCGTCAATGTCTTTGAATTTCAGTTTAGATGACAATCATTCAATGCCTACTGGGGACATTGCGCTTGTCAATCATGTAAACACTGTTTCATTGATATCTGAATCTGGTCCCCAGCCTCCGTGGTCAGTGTCTTTGAATTTTAGTTCAGATGACAATAATTCAATGCCTACTGAGAATAATGTAGCTTCCAATGAAGAGAATACTGTCTCATTTATTAATAGTACTCCCTCCGTCCTATAATGTTCTTCCCGGTTCATTTTACGAAGTTTGACCGACTTTATTTTCAATTCAATTTATTTGATTGTAGGTGTAAAATTAAAAAATAAAATTTATATATTTAAAAATTACATCAAAAGTTCTACAAAACAAGTGGTGACAAAATTATATTATTTTATCAAATACCTAATGAATTTAGGTAAAGAAAGTGATAAAAGTTTGACCGAGTAAAAAGTGAGTGAGAAGAACATTATAGGACGGAGGGAGTATATGAGAACATGCCAAAAATATTACTTTAACACATCATCTTAAAAGTAGCATATATATATATATATATATATATATATATATATATATATATATATATATATATATATATATATATATATGTATGTATGTATGTAGTATGTATATATATATATATATATATATATATATATATATATATATATGTATGTATGTATGTATGTATGTGTGTGTGTGTGTGTAACATGCTTACCAGTTACCACTATACACGGAGTGTTGGGAAAATCACCTCAATTTTCTAGCGGAAGCAATTAATAATTTTCCCGTCTTTGTGTTGTCAAAATGGGCAAAATCATATGACCGATCAAGAATAGTAAACACGTCAACAAGCAATCAATCAAACGATAAACGAACACCAAGATTTAACGTGGAAACCCCAAATCGGGGAAAAAACCACGAAGCCTTCCATTAATCACCAAGAAAATTAGTGGGTACACCAAGAATCTTCTCTAAATCAATTAGAGGTACACACAATCATCAAGTAATAACTTGGAACACCAAACAACAATAATCTTCACTAAAGAGTGAGAAATCCCCAATAAAAACGTAACAACAAACAGAGGCAGTTTTACCGACATCTAGAGGTCAAAACAACAATCCCGCCGTTGGATATGAAGAAGAGGATGTGAGGAACAACATACTAAAATTTTATTCCAATCGGAGCTCGTTTGGTCATCGATCGGAGCACAAAACAAGGCTGCACCTCTCCTTTTCTCCCTTCTTCCTTCTGTCGGCTCTCACCCCATTTCTTCTCTGTTTTGCTACTGTCCTTTCTGCCGTGAGAAGCCAAACAAAGGCTACTGCCTTTTCTACCAATAATAGGTAAGTGGTAGCCCCCACCACTCACACTTTTCCTTTATTTCTTTATAATAATAATAATAAATATTATTATTATTATTATTATACTAACCAACTCTAAACCAATTACATTTTTAACACTAAATGTATAGTTTAGGAACTCCTTCCTCCATGTAGGAGGGAGATCCCAACACGGAGTAATAAAAAATTCATCTAGACAGATGCAATGTGCATGTATGTGTGGGTAAGTGATCAAGGTAGTGATCAGTGGTGGCGGGTGGTGGCGTTAGGGTGGGGGTGCGGTGGCGGAAGAGCCACCACCGGCGGTTTAGACGGCTTGCATTGGTAGCACTTGGCGAAAAGACCAAATGTGTCTACTTGCTTGATGAAATTGGTGATGCTGGCCCAACCTCCGAAACCAAAGGCCACGACCATGATCCAGCCCACTATGAAGATGTTCACTGCTTACATGCCCGTCCAGCTTGGCAGAAAGAACGGAGGCTTTTCCGCCGCATTCTGCAATTATCACCAAAAATAAACGAAAAGTCACACACAAATAAAAATAGACTATACTTTTTGTCTTGCATTTTTCTTTTCGTTTGATTATTATTGGTCAAACTTCAAAAAAAGATTATTATATTTGCTCTGTAAAATTAATATGAATAGATGAATTTTGAAATTCAAGTTTAAGATATCATTTAATTACAAAATATTTCTTCATAGTAATATGAATATTAGTGGGTAAATTTCATCAATAATATATGAAAGCACACCAGCTTTCAGTATTCTTTTACTAACAGTACATTAATAGATTTCCCGGCCTCCACAAATGAGTCATACCTTTACGCTAAATGGACAATTTCAACATTCATTTACTATAATGGTCCCATTTCACATGGTATGGAATTGAAGCTAAGGCCACTGGGTATGGTCTTAATGCCAAAGGGCGTGAGGGGGCTTTTAACGCCCCGGGGGCGTTAAACACCGCCCCCCGGCGTCGTTACCCCGGCGTCATCGGCGAAGCGTCATTCGTTTGACGTGGCTTAGCGAGCCGTTACTCCTCTCCCAACGGCNCCCCCCCCCCCCCCCAAATTAAAAAAAAACAAAATTTAAAAAAAACCTATAAATTCCCCTAAAAAAATCATTCTCTCTCACATCTCTGTCACACATCTCTCACTATCTTCTCTCTAAAATATTTATTATTTATTATAAATATTTATAAAATATATTTTAAAAATGGGTTCATCTTCATTATCCAACGATGAAAAAAAAGCTCTCTTTTTTTGTTATTTCGCCACGAATTGTATTCAATGGTGGGAAGAAGACCAAGAAGAAGAAGCTGAATCCTCCCGACGACGGACCCAACGACAACGTTTAAACCGGGATCGAGCGGCCGCCCACGCATCACTTCTAAACGACTACTTTAATAATCTGTGTGTTTATACACCGGAGGATTTTAGTAATCGTTTTCGGATTAGTCGTCCTCTCTTTTTACGCATACTCGCCGATGTTGAACGCGAGCTTCCTTGGTTCACCCAACGTTTCGAATGACTTGTGGATTTGGCATGCTTTTTTTGGTGTCGCGGGCTCGAACAACGACATCAACGTTCTCGATCAATCGTTTGTTTTAATGAATGTAATTTTTTTATGAATGTAATATTTTTTTAATGAATGTAATTTTTTTAATGCACTAGTCTCATTCCGATTAATTTAAATAATGCACCGGGGTTTCAAACGTATTTCCAGTGCTCTAAGGTCATTGATGTTGAGAAACAATTAAATAAGAGAGGAGGCCATGGTGCTCATTTCCAAAACCATAGCATGGCTACTAAAGAAAAATGCAAACGGACGTTTCGCCCATTTCGTGTTGTCTTGTCTCCCAATATTTTCACGCCATTAATGCCATTGTTCCTACACTCTCTTCAAATAATTATTGCAGAGTACTTTTGATTTTATAGTAATAATTTCGTGATCCTATATGATCTTAAATATACTTCGAGTTCTCTTTGATTTTCTTGTAAAAATTCTCAGGTCACATATTATCTAAGATAAATTCCGGGGATTCTTAAAATTTGTGTTAATATACTTTGAAAGTTTTGTTACTTTGACAAGTACTAAATTTTACATTGATAATCATTATTTTATCACATTTAAATAAAATTATTCAGTTTGTCAAAGTAAAAGAACTTTTAATTTAATGCCTAAATTCAGAGAATGTACCTTCTAAACATAATATCGCAAATTTTAAAGACCCCATAGTATATTGACTATATTCCGATTATGTGTGATGTGAGAGTTCTTACCGAAAAATCGAAGATAATATTTCAGATACATATGTGACCTAGAGTTTTTTTCAAGAGACCGGAAAGTAATTTTTTGCACTCCCTCTATTTCAAAAGTTTTTTTCCGTTTTGGTAATTTTTTACCCACTCTTTCCATTACTAAGTACTCCGAGTACTTCGCTTTACTAGGCCTTCGTTACACTTGCCATTTTTGTTGTTTAATTGGATTAGTAAAAAAATTTCACCATTTATTCTTAGATTTTTTAAAAATTGTGCAGAATTCATCGAGTTTTAAAAATTGCACCGACAACTCCTGAATGTTTAAAACATTGCATATATCAATAGTCTATCTATGCGATAGTTGAAGTTAGTTGCACGCTCATCAATATACATGTTGGAGTTTGATGAAGATGACATGGATTAATGAAGATGTTGATTTTGAGGAAAAGCTGGATCGACTCATGCCCGGTATTCAAGTTCGATTACCGAAGTCTAAAACGAAAATAACTAACTAAGATTTCAAGAGGCCGGTTAAAAAATATACTCCGTAGAAAATAATGCTTGGGATGAGCATATTGCAAAACTCGCGTGAGATATATGACTTTAAATGAATACATACTTGCACTGAATGTGCGTGTGATTAACACACTCTCAAATCTGGCATAGAAGAACTATTAATGCAACATTTTTTAAATGTTCAAGGGCCATTTGTGCAACTTTTAAAGTTCAATGAGAAATCATACAATTTTTAAAGAGTTTGTGAGTACAGAGTGCTAAAACTCAATTATTAACACTTCCAAATTTAAAACTATTAAGGTTTCAAAAGTTTTTTATCGGTCTATGTATAAACTTATCACATATCCTCTATTATCTCATCCACCAATTTTTAATAATTACTGTGCATTGTCAAGGATAAATTTGAAAAAGTAACAAATGCTCTTCGATTTGCCTAAATCTCCATTAAATCTTCTATGTCAAGAATCCAAATGGATGGAAAGAGTATTATCACATGTGTTTTTTCCTTATGTAATACTTTTAGTCATTATCCATTAGTTATTTAAGTAAATGTTCACCATCACTGAACATTATGAAAATTATTAAGTGTTATTTAGGTAATAAAATAATTTAAGTGCTATTTAAGAAAATGACTCAAGTTTTAGTGCTATTTAGTGTAAATATTTCATTTATATATTGTAATTTAAAATGAATGAAATTATATTAAATTTATATTTTAATTAATATTCTTTGTCTGGACTCTCTTCGTCCCAAAATGAATTACCTTCTTTAATGAACGTGAAGACCTCTACACCCCCCTCGTCAAAAAAAAGTTCAAAACTATGCGATTTTTTGTTAAGAGTATCCCACATCGGAAAAGTGTGAGGAAAATAATCGGTATATAAGCTCTTGAGTTGAACTAACTAATCGATTGGATTCAATCTTTTAATGTGGTTCGACCCAAGTGTCTTATTACCCAATCCAGTTGTCAATACTCATCCCAAATTCTATCATTTTTAAAATCATTTTGTTTAAAAATTGGAATAGAAATACAAAAAAATTACATCTTTAAAATTTAAAACAAAAGTTTTACTAAACAAGAACTGACAAGAATATTTTATTTTATCAAATGATTACGAAAAGGTGCGAACAAATAAAATTTATCGAAAGACTGTAAGCGTAAATAGATTAATAATTTTGGGACGGAGTGAGTGATATGTAGTTAAAATTTATAAGATTCAACAAAAAAGGTTAAATTGAGGAGATTTTAGGGAGCGGAGGGAGTATATCTATATATACCACTTCACATATGGTTTCCTGAGTTTCAAATTAAATTTCTCATTTTTCTCTTTTCCTTCTTTAATAATAAAATTTTCAATTCTTTTAAAGAATGAAAATAGTAATGCATATTAATTTTTTGTAGTGTACATAAATATCAAGTAAATTGTTAAGGAACCAATTCAACCAAAAGCTCAAGCTTATTTATATTTTAACACGCCCCCTCACGTGCAGGCGTAGTTTTTTTCGAGCCTTGCACGTGAAACCTTAAATTTTTTTTAAAACTGGGTGGCGCTGAGTTTCGAACCCGTGACCTCTTAGTCAACGAGGCTCCGATACCATGTTAAGAAACCAACTAAACCAAAAGCTCAAGTTTGTGGTTGTGGCACAGGAAGAGTTATTTATATTCTAACATAAATAATTTTACCTTTTTAAAGTTGTGTCAAAAAAGTGAATGAGAACTTTGAATAAGATGCGTACCTGACGAGCGGAATGGGTACGAAAGGTGAGGATATGAGCGAGGGAGGGGATGATGTAGACGGTGAAGGTAACGAGAAGCGCGCCAACCGCGGAGTTTATAGGGCCAAAGAAGGGGAAAATAATGGCCAAGAACCATATGGGCATCACCACTGGTAACCTCGCCACTGCCCTTGGAAACATGCTTCTCGTCCCGTGCATCCCTATCATCTTCTCCCACACGAAGTACAAAGGCATCGATGCGAATCCAAATGTTATGAACTGGTGGATGAGCATTAGGACGACGGCAGTGTCGCGCCAGCCGGATTTGGGGAGGAGGGCAAAGGCGTTGGAGTGGTCGAGAAGCTGGTCGCCGAATGCCCAATAGACGGCGGTGGCTGAGGGAATGGTGAGGGTGAACACATAGAGGGTGGCATACAAGTATATGCATTTGAACTTCCGCGGCTTCCACATTGCATGCATTATTTCTCTGCAATACAATTTCATAATATCTGATGATGCATGAGTATTTCAAATATTAAGTCTCTATTGGTCCAGTTTTCACCTCTTTCGGTCGACTATTTTTATTAATAAGAGTGCTTCTTTAGTGCATCTTGTCATGACAAAAATCCACAAATACTTTATGCAAAGCAAGAATGTTCCACACTTCTTTTCTCATGTGTCAAATCCCGCCACAACACTCTTTTGTTTTTGTTTGACAATAGTACTCCTTCGTCTCCTAAAATGTTCTTGTTTTGATTTTTTGTGATTTTTAAAAATTGTTGAAAAAAAATAAAAGTTTACCAAGATACTTTTAAGAAAAATGAATGGGGTATATTAAATGAAGTGTAGTGTGAGGTGCAATAAATACAGTGAGGATAATTGTGATACTTTAAATTTTAAAAAAGATAATGGAAAGCTCTATAGAGCACAAATAAAAATGACTGATGAAAATATGTATAGGGGACTGAGGGAGTTATAATATTAGTAGTACTGATTATGGTAGCGTTTGTTTATTAATCAACTTCTATTATTGGGTTAAATCATACTTGTGTTAGAAGTTCTTATCTACACTTATTTTAACAATACCCTTAATTGATCACTAGAGTCACGCCCAGGCGGAATTCTTTACATTTTCTAACAAGAGTGTAATCAATTCAGATTTTAAAAGATTGTTTAGAATTCATGGATTATGCAAAATTCATAGATTGTTTCAAGTCTACACAAAATTAGATAGATTTTAATCCATTTTATCCGTATAATTTTTCAAGAGTGAATTTTATCAGATTTTGTAGAATTGTTTATAATCCAAGCTCAAACAAACATCAAACATATGTTGAAAGAGGAGTCCTCAATTTATTTGCTTCACTCTTTTCCTTCTCCCCAATAGATGATTTTCACACACCTCTTCTATTCCCTAACCAAATTTTAAGTGACTTTTTAAAATCTGAATTAAATACCTACAAACTTTTGAAATCCAAAAATACTACAAAATCTAGGTAAATCAAAGGTGCTAGAGAGTCCCTTTACATTTTCTAAACTATATATACCATTTCATAAAGTATGAGCTCCATCCCTGAGAGCTTTCTCAGACTTGATCAGATGATCACTGAGAGAGGGTAAATTAGATTTTAATTTCAAATTTGTGACAAAGAGTGTGTTAAATATATTTACCTATTCATTCTTCAGAGTGAATTGCCCTTTATACTTGTAGAGAGATTATGCTTAGCATAGTTGCCTCCCAATGAATTACTAGTAATTGAACTCGAGAATATCCTTTGACACTCCTTACCTTTGTCAACTGCGCAACGCCCACCGATTATATAAAGCTTTTTCAGGACACTAAAAGTTTAAGACGATGTTAACTCTACCTTGAGTAATTTATCCTCAATTTTGTAGATTTGTATCCATTCTTATATCGTTTAAAAGATAACATAACGACTTACGGGCTAACTTTTTATTTTTTCCTTCTCAGATGACTATATGAGTACTATATTCAAAAGTTTTTAACTTTAGAAAAAGAATGGATAGAAAAATTTTCATATACCCATCTACGGTTTTCATATTTTCTCGATCATGTGGAGCCCACATTTTGAAAAATGATATGCAGAGTTGAACCATGATATAAGATATGAAAAATACTAGGGTACACCTTTCCTCATTTAGCGTGTGCTACACCGGAATGGCTTATCGCTTGGTTGGAGTACGTTGAACCTAGGTATTTTATTTTAATTTGGTTTGAACTCATAAAATATTTTATACCCTAGAAAAAATTTCTAATTTATTTTAATATATCAAGGGATTTGTTAGACAATAATATTAATAGTACTTCTTGTAGTATTGGTTATGGTAGTGTTTCATTATTAGTCAGCTTCCTAATCCTATTTGTGGTAGATGTTGTATGTTAGTTAGTTTCTATTCTCTATTCCTAGTTGTGTTATGAGTCTCTCTTATATATACACTATCATGTACTCCATAATTCAATGAGCAATATTATTATTCCAATATTTCAACATGGTATCGGAGCCAGGTTCTTGGTGACATAAAAAAAGTTCTTTGCTCCCACCGCCGCCGCCGGTAATTCCGGCGATGGCGGCTCCACCCTTTTCACCTCTATTTTCTTTTCCTTCTTTATCCTCAAATCAACTTCTTCATTCAAATGAAAAAAAAAAGAAAAAAAACTCTGTTGAAATCACACAAAAAAAAACTGTCAAAGAAGGAACTTCTCTCTTGTCATCTTCATGGTTCTTCAAAAAAAATCTCAACTCCTCACAAAATCTCTCAGATCATCCTATCTTCTCAAAAAAAAGAAAAAAAATGATTGTTGTTTCTCTCCAATTCACCATATCAAAATCTCTGACCCAATTTTTTTTTCCATCACCAATTCTTAACCTATTTTTTCTCTCTAAAATCACTCATTCTAATCATCAACCTCCCTTCTCTTTCTCTTCTATTGAACCATTAAAAATCCAAAGTAAATCATCATAAAAGCAAAGCCAAGAGGTGAAGTAGTGAAAGAGAAAATAAGACATCTACAACTCACCCCTTCAAGAAGGAAATAGGGCATTGCCCGGATCCAAGAAAAAGACAAAAAATGTCAAGGATCTTCAGTCAAACAGGCACCTCCAATAGCTTTCTCTATTCTTTTTCGACGTCAGCAGCTACAAGCGCACGTCAACATTCTCTCATTTTCATCGACATCAGCAGCTACTAGCGCACGCCAATTTCTCTCTTTTCCAACGACGTTAGCAACTACCAGTGCACGTACGTCAGGCCTCTCTCTTCTCCAACGACGTCAGCAGCCACCGGCGCGCGTCAGATTTCTCTCTTCTCCAACGACGTCAGCAGCCACCGGCGCGCGTCACACTTCTCTCTTCTCCAACGATGTGAGCAGCCACCGGTGCATGTTAGACTTCTCTCTTCTCAAAGTTTCCTGTTTCCAGCTAGTGTCCAAGCTTCCTCTTGCTTCAGCCAGAGTTCAGCTTGAGGGGGGATGTTAGCCAATAATATTAATAATACTTCTTGTAGTATTGGTTATGGTAGTGTTTCATTATTAGTCAGCTTCCTAATCCTATTTGTGGTAGATGTTGTATGTTAGTTAGTTTCTATTCTCTATTCCTAGTTGTGTTAGGAGTCTCTCCTATATATACACTATCATGTACTCCATAATTCAATGAGCAATATTATTATTCCAATATTTCAACAGGATTAATTCAACCAAAAATTCAAACTTCTGATTGTGACCTACTAATGATTTTTTTATATTCTAACACGTCTTCTCATGCGTAGTCTTTTCAAGTATTGCACGTGAAATCTTAATTTTTCTTCAAATTCGGTGGCGGTGAGTTTCAAATTTGTGATCTCCTGGTCATTAAGGCACCGATATGATGTCAAAGAACCTATTCACCCAAAAGCTCGATCAAACTTATGGTTGTGGTCCAGGAATGGTTTTTATATTCTAACACAACACTAACTTACGGCTTGTTCTTTTTTGTTAAAATTTTAAATTATACTCCCTCTGTCCCCCTGTATTTGTCCACATTTGATTTTTGGAACTGTTCATATACACACTTTGACTCATCAAATTCTCTCAATGTGTAAGCCTAAATATAATCGTGTGTGATCTTGTTTGATTTGTCTTAACATATAGATTATTAATATATAATTTTTTAATATACAAATTATAAGATCAAATGGATTAAAGAAGTGCATTGGATGGTGTGTAAAAATGAAAGTGGACAAATACAGGGGGACGGAGGGAGTATTCGATATTGGAAGAAACTAAGAGGAGTTAAGAAACATTAGAAAGAGTTATAAAATGTTGGGAAAAAATAAATTATTAAAAAAATCACTTAATTAAATGATCACCTAAAAAAATATATAAAAAAAACTAATTTGGCATTTTAAAAAAATACATCTTTGTCTGTGTTCGAAGTTATATGTTATAAGTTTAGATATATGTTTTTATCATATATTTATCATATGTAAATAATACTTATAGGTCGTTCTAGGAAAAAACTGAAACAAGATAGAGGAGACTAGTTGGAAAAAATTTAGAGGTTGATTTTCCCAACGAGAAATAACTTACACGGTGACTGCATGACCCACGAAGGTGTAGAGAATGTTGGTGGCTCCCGTAAAATACCATACAAGCTTTGTTGGAGCAGAGTGCGTGACACCTTCCACCTAACACACAATAATCAAATTTCTAAAATATGAATTAATTCCAGCTCCATATATAACTTATGCTTTTTCTATCTCATAAACCTTTTCAAGGATGAAAAACTATTTCAAAAATGAAAATTTTGATATTATCTTTCTAATTATGATTCATCTCTCCCACACATTATATTTTACCTTATTACAGTACAAAGTAATTAATTGAAAAATTTTAAAAATTATATCTAAAAGAAATATTTGCACTAAATAGAACTAAAACTTAAGTCATTTCCCTAGATAGCACTTAAATTATTTTATTCTCTAAGTAACACTTAATAATGTCCATAATGGCAGATATTTACTTGAATAATGACTAAAATTGCTACATTGATAAAAAATAAATGTGATGCTATTTACGGAAAGTCATTATGTTTTAGTGCTATTTAAGAGAAAAAATCCACTATCTAAAACACCTATTTTCTGGACATATTTCTTTTTATCTTTCAAAAAGTTATATGGGACATATCAAAGAATATTAGTGCTAGCAAGTACTCCATCCGTCCCGGAAAACATGGGAGTTTTGATTTTGAATAGGAATTTAAGGGGAGAGTATTTTGGTATTGAATTTCCAAAAATGTACTTTGATATGATTGTTAAAAGTATGATTTGATGAATATATTATTAGTGAAAAGGTATGATGTGATAGGTAAAGTATGAAAAAGTAAGATGTAAAAGTGACTTTTTAATAAAAATGAAAAGTGTTTTTTGGGACGGATGTAAAAGTGAGTAATTACTTGTCCGTGGAGAATAGCAGCAATGGCGAGGTACCAAGCGGTGTAAGTGGTCATGCCGAGGACCAAATCCGGAAATTGTGGAAAGAAGAAATGAAAACAGTGGTGGCACAGCAAGCCCCGAAAATGTTAGTCCACGTCCTCTTGTCCAGCCGGTCGTTTATGTAGTATATGTTACTGGCGCACGCTATGAGCTGAATCACCGACCCGAACAACAGAAACGTGCAGTTGAACACTAGCCCCACCCCCTTCCAGTACCCTCCCAGCAGCCCGTCCAACACCTCGAACCACTGGTAACATATATTATTATTAATGATAACAACACTATATATATGTGTATAAGGTTAGGTTGTCGTTAAATGGACTTCAATAATGTCACGTGAACAGCCCCGTTTCTACTGACCTGAATGACGTGGTTGTTGAAGCTGACGCCCTCCTTCTCCTTCCGGGTTCTGTACTCGACGTAGAGGACGCTGATGAGGTACGCGGTCCAGCTCCCGACCAGGCCGTAGAATATCTGGAAGGCTATGCCGGACGCCATTCCCAGCTGGGAGAAGGAGTAGGGCAGGGTCAACAGGACCTGAGCCACCTGAAATAAAACATCACCCCATTTGTACGCCAAGCCCAAAACAGACACACACACGCACTATATGTCTGTGCACCGGGCGCACTTGAGAATCGAACTCGTGACTTTCTGAGAGATAATTTTAATCAAGCGATTACTTGGTTGGAAGCACAGCTGAACCAAGCATCCCAGGCAGAGCCACCGTTCCAGAGCAAGTTCTTGACGCTGAAAACTTCTTCGCCGCCTTCCTCCCGCACCGCTTCGGCGGCTATTATGGGCTCTTCTGCTTGCTTCTCCCCCGCCATTCGGCTAGCTTATTTCTCTGTTCAGGCAGATCTGGAACAAAAAGGTTCTCTTTTTTTTTAATTAACAAAAGACCCAGATCCAATGTCCAGAAAAGAGGCGGGACAGATCAAGAAAAAAGCATTTCACAGATATGGATCGACCTTGTTCTGGAGATCTGTACTTGAAGGGGCAGAGAAAGAGAAAAACCAATTCTTTACTTATACTTATGTAGTGCCCATTCAGAGAATAGAAGCCATTTTATTTATATCTGTAAAGACTAAATTTTTCAAACGATTTACGGAGTATTTCAAAAAATTAAGAAAAAATGAAATTATACCGTTGAAATCTATGAAAATGAGATAAATCAAATATCATTGGATACTCATTTTCAAAAAGCAATTAGAAAAAATTGAATTCAGAACCAAAAAAACCACACTTTACTTGGAGATAGGGAGAGTCAACACGCACATGCAAACTTGTATATACTCGTAATTGATTCGGATGCCGGGTGGGGCAAATTATTTGGAGAATTGTATGTGTCCTCCCCTTATTTCTCAAGTCTTTCTTTAACCTCTTTAAAAAAAGTCTTTCTTTAATCTTTTTTTAAAGAACAAGAGGGTGTACCAAGAAATATACTCCAATTTGTACTTACATACAGGTCCAAATAGTAGTTTAAACAAAAAAAATTACTGATATTTTGCGTCAATGTAAACCATCACACTAGTGTGATAGAAGTATAAAATGTTGGTGCATGCATTTGAAGTATAAAATAAAGTATATTACAAAGGACCATGCTAGGGTGCCCCCACATGGTTGCTACCATAGGTGCACCCATGCTTCGCACAGACAAACACAGACGATAATTGTCTGTGCGACACAGACAATTATCGTCTGTGTTTATCTGTGCGAAGCATGGGTGCACCCGTGGTAGCATCCATGTGGGGCATCCTAGCATTTTCCTATTACAAATAGCTTAAAGAATGTGATGTTATTGATTTAGGAATAGAGTGATAGAGTACTCCCACTCCAACCCTCTTAAAACTAACTTACACTTTCAAGTTATGAGGTTTAATTGAAATTAATTCTATTTAATTTTACTTCATTTTATGTATAAATTTAAAAATAAAATTTGTATATTTAAAGTACATCAAATATTCTACAAAGCTATGACATAATTATATTATTTTAAAAAATAATTAATGAAAATAAGTATTAAAAAAGTAAATAAAGTTTTCCTCTCTTTGTTTCCTTTTCATAGATATTTTTTTTTATTTCTTTTCTAAATTTTTTGTAATACTTTAAATAATTCAAAATATAATTTTTTGACTTTGAAATAAAAATAAAAAATGAAAAAAACTACTCGTAACATATACTCCATAATTCAAAGGAATTTTCACCTAAAATATGGAAAATAAATTGAAACATACAAAACATATTTTTATACAAAAAGGAATTTTTAAAACATCTTTAAAAAATCATTAGGATTGGGATGACTAAAAAATAATATTCATTTTAATTTTTTCTCTTTTAAGTTCTCAAAAAAGTTCTCATTTTTCACTCGGCCAAATAGCTCTAGTTCCCTAAGCATTTTTTCTTATTTCTCATTTTTATAAGTTCTCAAAAAAGTTTTCTTTTTATTTTGGAAAAACAAAAATAAAAAATTTAAATTTAAGATTTGGGGATGCAACGTTAATTACTTGGCCAAATAGCTTTAGTGCCTCATTTTGTTTGAAAAACTGGCACCAATAGAGCTATTTTCTCTTTTTTTAGGGGTTTTTCCCTTTTTAAACTATTTTTTCCCTCTCTTTGTTTCCTTTTATTTTATTTTTTTATTTCTTTTCTAAATTTTTTATAATGTTTTAAAAAATTCAATATTGTTTGTGTTTGAAATAAGAATAAAAAATGAAAAACATTACTCATAACATATACTACGTGTATCTCAAATTAAATATTTTTGAATTTTTTTCTAGAATTTAAAAATTTGGAAGTACAAAAAAGAAAATCTAGGATAAAAAATAATTGAAACATACAAAAAATATTTTTATATAAAATGGAATTTTTAGAACATCTAAAAATATCATTAGGTTTGAGATGTCCTAAAACATAATAAGTATTTTAATTTTTTATTTCATTTTATTTCTTATTTTATTCCACTTTTTTTTGAAGTTCCCAGAAAAATGTTTTTCTTTTTTAATTTGGAAAACAAAACTAAAAACTTTTCATTTGAGATTTAGGGATGCAGCATATGTTAATAACTCCATATTTCTGTTTCAAACAAAAATAGTTTTATATTTTAAGACCATTATAAAAAGCCTTTTAAAAAAATTTAAACCTTCATACATAAAAAGAATCAAATAGTGAAAAGGGAAAAAATAAAATAAAATAAATGCAAAAAAAGAATAGAAATCATCTTATATAGGACTAAAACACAGAGAAAAAGTACCAAAATAGGACTTTCATGTTTTTTCCCGGAATAGGACTTTGCACTGTGGTAATGTAACTTTGCATTGTGGCAATGTGGCAGTGTACATGTGCAAATTACTATACTTTTTTGGTAATGTATATGACCATGTTTGGTAATGTAAGTCCTATTTTGGGAATAAAAACATGAAAGTCCTATTTTGGTATATTTTTAATTCTTTAGTTCTACTTTGCTATTTCTCCCTATTCCCTATGGTTTGAAAATAGGCACCATTCCCTGCTCTTCGCTAAAAAAATATCCAAAAAATGATTATAAAGAATGTGTGTTTAACATTTTGAAAGCATAAGAATTTTAGAAATAAATTTTGAAAACATAAGGGGTATTGGTACCGCTTTTCAAAGAGTGGATTCTCAAAACGGTCCTTTCTCATATGACGATTTCTCAAATCAGTCCTCAAATAGTGATAACTACTAACATGATCTTTTATAATTGAGATGTATTCCTAAGTAGGCGTTTGCTAAAGATGTTTATTAAATATCACTCAAATAGAAGGTATTTTAGCATTAAGTAAATTTCAAAAACGGTCCTTTCTAATAAGGTGTTTTATCAAATTAATTCTCAATAAGTAATAATTATCAAACAAAAAAATTTGTACTGACATTTTGCGTCAATGTAAACCATCACATTAGTGTTACAGGAAAGTATAAAATGTTGGTGCATGCATTTGGAGTACAAAGTAAAGTATATTACAAATTGCTTAAAGAATGTGATGTTATTGATTTAGGAATAGAGTGATAGAGTACTCCACTCCAACCCTCTTAAAACTAACTTACACTTTCACGTTACGAGGTTTAATTGAAATTAATTCTATTTAATTTTACTTCATTTTATGTATAAATTTAAAAACAAAAATTCAATAAGTAATAATTATCAACGTGGTTCTTTATAATTGAAATGCATTCCCTTAGGGGTGGGCACGGATCGGGATGGTCCGGATTTTAGGTTGTCCCACGTCTTGTCCCGTTATATATAAACGGTCCGGAACGGTTCGGATTACAATCTAATCCCGGTTTGTCCCATAAAATTCGGGATCGGAACAAAATGGGACGGATTCGGGTCGTCCTACTTTGTCCTAATCGCAAATATAAGAAGGGAAGAGGGTGACATTTCATTTAAAAAAGAAACATCTAGCCATCCAACAAAAAACAATGAGTGGAACGGGTCCAAATAAATTTCAAGCTCATGAAGCTAATTTAATTAAATAACCAATTAATTAAAGAATGAGTGTATTTGGATTCTGGACTAGAATTAGTATTATATATTAGTAGAGTAGATGAAACGGGACAAACGGGACGGATCGGTATAAATTTAAGCTGTCCCGCTCATGTCCCATTTGATATTGGGATGGAACGGGTTCGGGACAAAAAAATTGTGTCCCAATATATCGGTACAATTACAAAACGGATCCAGGATTTTTCGGGACGGTCCAACGGGAACGGATTTCACGCCCACCCCTACATTCCCTAAATAGGCCTCTATCAAAAATGTTAATTAAATGACAATCAAATAAAAGTTATCTTGGTATTTTCTATCATCTATGTTTAAATTATGTTCTCGAAATGTTTCTTTATAACTAAGTATCTTTCCAAACTGATAATTCTAAGTAAACGTTTTTCCAGAATGGAGTGAATGAGCCTACTCAGTGTGGGTCCGTTCCTCTAGCGGCCACCCACTTAATTTGAAAGGACCATAATTTTTAGAACCGAATCGGTCAAGGTACTAAGTTAAAAATATATACATGAGGTATAAATATATATATATATACACACACACACACATACATACATACATATATATACATATACATACATATATATACACACACACACACATACTCCCTCATTTATAAATACCTAAAGAAAGTAATTTATAACAGTTGACCAAAGTTATATTAATATAGTTGAGTTATGTACCTAAGTTAAAAAAAATAAAAATTTACATATTTTAAAAATAATATTAAGAATTTTATAAATGAAGAGTTGATTTTATTTTTTTAAGTAAGTTGTTTAATACTCCGTATTAAAATTAAAAACACTCAAATGAAATGTTTGCATGATATACATTTCGTAATAGTATCAATTGTATCAATGATTTTGTGTTTGAGAATATCTTTATACAATCTTATTTAGTTATATAATATGATACTTTATTTTTTAAAATGAAAAGGAATATTTATACAATCTTTTTTAAATTATGAAATATTTAAAAATATTAAGTGAACTTGTAACAGAAAGCACCCTAGCTTGAACGGTTAGAAACCTAGTCGTTCAAACCCCCGTGGTGGTAAACTTTTGAAAAAAAGGCATAAAATCGAAAAAAAATGGTCCGGCCGGTTCATACCAATTTGAACTGGTTTGAAGCTGATTGCAGTGTAAAAGATTGGACCGGACCAGTTGGATCACCAGTTTGCCGGTTCACGATCCGAACTGGCCGGTCCGGTCCGCTTTTTAAAACTATGGAAATGACCATTTTGAAGAATTATTCATAATTTAGATGATGAAAAATACAAAAATACCCTCTATTTAACTGTCATTTAATAGGCATTTTTAACAAAAGACTATTTAGGAAATACTTTTCAATCACAAAAAGGCTGTATTATTAGTAATTACTGTTTATTGAGAACTAATTTTGGAAAACACCTTATTAGAAAGGGCCGTTTCGGAAATTTACTCTTTGGTATTTTGTATCATCTAGATCGACTTAATGTATCTCGAAATGCTCATTTATAAATAAGTATTGTTTTGAAGAGATA